TAGCTGATGCAGAAAGTCATGCATTTATTTCAAAGCAGCAGTAGAAATGGTGATTGCTTGCATGCCAAACCTTATCAGGAGAGACCAGAGTCCAGTGCTTGTCTTTTTGACCTTAATATAGAGCCCAGTAAGCTGAACTGCAGGCTGTGGAAGGTCAGTAGTTCAGCAGTTCGAGACCCGAGTGTGCCACGTGACGGAGTGAGCTCCCGTCTCTAGTTCCAGCTCCTGCCAACCTAGCAGTTCGAAAGCAAGACATTGCAAGTAGATAAATAAGTACCACTTCGGTGGGAAGGTAACAGCGTTCCGTGCGCCTTGATGTTTAGTCATGCCGGCCACATGACCACGGAAATGTCTTTGGACAGCGCTGGCTCTTCGGCTTTGAAACGGAGATGAGCACCGCAACTCTAGAGTCAGATTCTACTGGCTTTCGAGCAAGGGAACCTTTACCTTTACCTTAAGCCTGTCTTATTTGGAATGCTGCCATGAACAAGAGGATAATTTGGCCCCTAAAGTATTGCTTGAAGACAGGAAGGCCTGGCGGGATCTGGTCCATGGGGTCGCGAAGAGTCGGACTCGACTGTGCGACTGAACAACAACAAAAAAGGTGTTGCTGTGCCCAACAAGAACCTTAGTAAAAGTGTTTTCGCTCCAGCACGGATAACTGTGACCGTGCATAGCAGATCTTTCTGGGTAAACAGCAAGGAATTTTACAGCAAGAGAGATAAGAAACTAAAGTCAATTGCATTTGGCTCTGCACATGTTTTAGTCAAGTTGTATTTCTATTAGGGATTGGGAAACCATCATACATTACATCACCATCCAGAGATCAAAGAATGATTTTTCAGTGGCAGAGAACATAAGAGTCGGATTACATACTTTTTAGGGACATATATTCTAGGAAGTAATTAATGCCTGTAAAGAAAACTCTGTCACTAGTAAGAGAATTTGGGGATAGCAATGCCTGTAAAAATTGCTTGCAGAATATGACTGGTATGTGCACGGAGTATACAGAAAATGTCAGAAAGCATAATCAAGTAGTCAAACAGGCATTAAATGCTACCTTCATCTTACACAAATGAGAAATATAAAAATAATGACCGCAGCACAATATAGTAGTGGAATTTGAGAGAAAACCCACACACTTCCCTGTTGTATATAAGAATGGTGGAAACATGTGAGCAGGGGTCATTTCCTGCAGGAGCGCACAGGAGCGGAGCTCTGGCAGTAAAGAGCCCAGGGGGCGGGCACATGCAACAAGCCCCACCTCCTGCTCCCAGCAGCCCTCAGTCAGAGCAAGAAGCAGCCAGGTAAGTTGCAGAGCCCCCCCCTCGGCCCAAAACAGTCCAGTGGCACCTTTAAGACCAAGATATTCAGGTATAAGCTCTCCCTCCTCTGTGAGGACAGATCTGCATGTTTCCCCCCCCCCAATAGCTAGCAATCCAAAACAGTCCAGTGGAGCCTGAGTGGTGGGTGTTGCCTTCTGACATAGTTCCGGTGATGTCAGGGGGTGTGGCATATGCAAATAAGTTATGCTAATGAGCTCCTGCACCGCTTTTTCTACGAAATGACCCCTGCATGTGAGTAAATACATGTTATGCCCTCCCATCTCAACTAGTTTAACACATCCACAGAGCAATCCTAAATACCATTACACTAATCTATTGAAGACAATGTGCTTAGAGAAGTAGAAGTCTGTTTAGGATTGTACTGCCAGTCCTCCAGATAATATCTATACATCTCTAAGGAATGGTGGCTAGGAAGATCATCTGAATGGCCCTTCACACATCCACAAATTCAGTTGACTAATTGTTAATATGCAGAAGATAATACAACCTCCACAACAGTCCTCCACAACAGAGAGGTAGCCGAGTTAGCTTGTTGCAGAAAAAATAAACAGGAGACGAGTGGCAGTTCAGAGACTAACAGAACTTTATTTCAGTATAGACTGTTGTAGATTAGAGTGTACTATGTGAGAGGCAAGGCAGGGAATTCTCACTAGGCAGATATTTATATATGAGGTTATGGGGGGAAAATAAATAGCAGGGTCATAAATGTTTACATTTGAATTTTACATAATAACAGGTCACCCTGTACTTCTTCAATTCCATGGCTCTTTGATCCTGCTATTTATTTTTTTCCACCCTATAACCTCATACAGGGCTTTTTTTGTGATGGTATTCAAGGGTACTGAGTACCAGTACCTTTTCCCATGTTTCTCCCAAGTCCTGTGCCAGCCAGCCCCAATCAACCAGAGAAGAGAGAGTAGTAGACCCTCAGGAATAGCCAGCTGGGGATTTGCAGAGAGAGGGGGGAACCGGTAGAAATCAGTGCAACCTTAGATATGATTGCTGGCACAGATCTCATACAGAAATGTCTGCCTGTTAAGAACCCAGTACATTGCATCTGATGGCGTGGGCTCTAGTCCAGCAAAGCTTACACTGGAATAAAACTGTGTGCATTTTTAAGGTCCACTAGACTCCCATTGGAGGATAAAATGGAGGCGATGATAACCATATATGCAGGGGTCATTTCGTAGAAAAAGAGGTGCAGGAGCTCATTAGCATAACTCATTAGCATAACTTATTTGCATATGCCACACCCCTTGACATTACCGGAAGTGTGTCAGAAGGCAACACCCACCACTCAGGCTCCACCGGACTGTTTTGGATTGCTAGCTATTGGGGGGGGACGTGCAGATCTGTCCTCACAGAGGAGGGAGAGCTTATACCTGAATAAAACCTGGTCTTAAAGGTGCCACTGGACTGTTTTGGACCAGGGAGCTGGGGGGGGGGGCTCTGCAACTTACCTGGCTGCTTCTTGCTCTGACTGAGGGCTGCTGGGAGCAGGGGGGGGGGCTTGTTGCATGTGACCACCCCCTGGGCTCTTTACTGCCGGAGCTCCGCTCCTGTAGGAAATTACCCCTGCATATATGCTACCCTGAGCGCCTCACGGACCGGGCAAAAAACCTCACCCCCCAACCAAACAGGAACCAAACAGTGAAATTCTAACACTTTTTTTCCAGGGCTCCCCAGTTGGTTTATGGGGCCTGGGGTAGGTATAATTTTTTTTGGGGGGGGGGCTCCACTAATTCCTACAAGCACCCACATGTGTATGTACACAAATGAAGCACCACATGTGAGAATTTTTGAATGCATGGATCACATGTAAGAATTTTTCTAAGTGGCTCCTCCTTGTTTTAGGAGTAAACAGGATTTTTCCACTCATCCCCATGCCAAGGATGGCTAGTTGGAGACAGTTTGCTTCAGAGACAAGGTACTAAAGCAAAATTTCAGACTCTTGCAGAAAATGTGACTTGTGATTGACCTAGACTCTGTTAGAGTTGGCACACAGGCCTCCCCCACTGTCAGCTTCCCAAGGACACTTTTCAATCAGTTTACTCATCATGGTATGTAAGGAGTGTCCCAGTATGCTAGTTACATTTTCGAGTCCAATGTCATCTTCCATTTATATATCATTTTTTCCCCTTTTTAATGAATATTTTAAACAAAATAAGAATGCTGGTGACTGATGTGATAGGCCGGAGGCAGTGATACACAGAGGAGCTGAAACAGGGATTCCCTTCCTTTTGGAGAGGTCTAGGACAAACAGCTTCAGTTGACATATCTTCCACTCCCCCCGCTTTGCTCCAGAAATCCTGCAGAGATTAAAACACAACCTCTTGGTACTTTTTGGCCTATATTTTATCAACAAATCTGGTTTAAAAAGAGCAATATGTCTCAATTTCTAAACTGCAGGGGTTATGTTTGGCCTCCTTTTAGTGAAAAATGAACCCCTTGTACCATCAACAAGAATGGAGCAGGAATCCTATGGACTAAGTGGTGGTCAACCCTAACCCCTGTAATCTGGAAATAAAAGCATATGATTGTAATCCTATACTTGTTAATACTATGTAGGACAAAAGGAGGCAATGCCTGACTTTTAATTTCTGCTGTCCAAAATACCGACAGAACACGAGGAGAAAATTTGCACTGCATTTCCACGTTTGATAGTCTATTTTTTAAAAGTTCACTCCCTTAAAGGATGGCAGTTTTCTTTCTGAGCCCACTGGAAATAAAAAAAAAGGCAGGAGCGGATTGAGGCTCACTGGTGCCCTAAGCACTCACCAATCTTGGTGCCATAGGCTATGGACACTGCACCTCGCCAACAAAAAACAGAAGATAACCCTAGGGTGCACCATGATCAATGTGCACTAGTTTTATCAATTTTTTTTTTTTAACAAATCTTCATTTGTTTTTTCTTTCCACCCTTTCCCCAACTTTGTGGTGCCCCCTTTGGCCCTGGTGCCCTAAACACGTGCTTCCTCTGTTTAATGGTTAATCCGCCCCCGAGAAGGGATGCCCACCACTGCAGGCCAAGATCAGTCCGTCGTGATGGCGAGAACTCCCCCCCACCACCACCACCAGTTGCCTCTGCGACTATAGAGCTACTGCGCCGTCCAAGCCCGTCGGTGGCCTCCGCGACCCTCTCAGAGCTTCTTCAAGTCTACGCTGGGAAACCAGCTGGCCTTCACCTTCGAAAGATCAGCGCCAGCCAATGGCAGAGCGCGGTTTGGTCGGGGGACGACGGGGATTGGCGGAGGAGCTCTGCTGATTACTGTGGAAACCTCATCGGTGATTCATGGAGCGGGGATGCTAAGAAGGGAAAGGAGGGAGGGAGGGAGCCTGAGGTCCCCCGGACTGGCGCAGGGATTATCCGAGAGGGGAAAGTCCGTCGGTGTGGCCTGAGGGCGGACGGGGTGGGGGAGGAGGAGAAGGGGGGGGCACCACCACCACCACCACCACCTCAGAGTCGGCGTAGCAGAGCCGGGGGACTCGCAGAGGCTCTGGCGGGCAAGGGAGGGAGAGACAAAGAGCCGGCGCGCGCGCGAGGGTGCCGATGAATTGAAGCCGGCAAGAGGCGCGCGCTCCTTGCAGCCCGCCCGCCCCCCCCCTGCAGGATCCGGGGGGAAGCCCGACGTGCCAGGCGCGATCCGACGAGACGGACCCAGACGCGCGGGTCGCCCATGGGGAAAGGCGGGGAGCAGGGGGAGGAGAGCGGCGAGCGGGAGGCGCAGCTGCCCTCCTACTCGTGGGAGGAGATCCAGAAGCACAGCCTGCGCGCGGACAAGTGGCTGGTGGTCGAGCGGAAGGTGTACAACATCAGCCGCTGGGTCAAGCGGCACCCGGGCGGGCAGCGCGTGATTAGCCACTATGCCGGCGAAGACGCCACGGTAAGGCGGACGGCTCGCTCTCCCGCTGTTCCCGGGCACCTGCTTTTGAAAAGAACGGCGTTTCGGGGCTGGGTTGGCCTGGTGGGGCTGAGCCACGAGGCCGGGGGGATTGCACTGAATTGCACGGGGCCGGCTTTTTGCTCGGTGGTGTTTTTTTTTAAATTAATGCCTGCAACTGCAAGGAAGACTCAATTCAAAAGAAGCTGCTTGGGATGTAGATGAGGTGGTTGCTGCAAGAGGGGGATTGCAAAAAAGAAGACGACGACGTGTGGGGAGGAGGCTGTGGCTTTGTGAACAGCTGCGTCGCTTTCCGCCTCCCCTCCCCTTCTCCCCTCCCCTGTAGGATGTTCTGCACAGGCGCCGGTTTTGGTGGGAAGAAGGCGAGGGGGTTCTGCAACGGATGGTTGCCGCCCCCCTTCGCGCACACACTGAGCTCCTGTTTCAGTTATGGCAAAAGAGTAAAAAAAGCTGCAGCCGATAGAAGAAAATCCGGCGCTCCGCTGTAAAATTATTGTCTGTGGTTTCCCAAACCACAGTCTCCAGGAGAGCAGCCAAAGTGCATGCTAACTGTGCCCCTAAGGCACGAACCTTCGTAACCAAACGAAAGGGATCTTCTGTACAGATCTTTACAGGGAGAAGAGGCTCTCTCCCCAAAAACGAGTGGGGGGAACGATGGCAGCCATAAGGGTGTTCCGTGGTGACGGGAAGGCCTTCTGCATGTGCTCAGAGGCACTCCCTACCGGTGTTCCCTCTAAACTGTGGAGTCTTGTGAGCAAAAATTCTACTTTGTGAGCTACTGGCATTACAGTTGTGAGCGAGAGAGTTGGCTACATAAATTAGTTTGCTCTGGAGGCATCCTTCCTGAGCTAAGACAAAAATGTGTGAGCCAGAGGCTAAAAAACTGTGAGCTAGCTCACACTAACTCAGCTTAGAGGGAACACTGCTCCCTACCAATGCTCCCTCTAAGCTGTGGCGTCTTGTGAGCAGAAATTCTACTTTGTGAGCCACTGGCATTAAAGTTGTGAGCAATCGATTTGGCTGCTGCATAAATTAGTTTGCTCTGGAGCTGTCCTTCCTGAGTTGAGACAAAAATGTCTGCGCTGGAAGCTAAAAAACTGTGAGCTAGCTCACACTAACTCAGCTTAGAGGGAACCCTGCTCCCTACCTGTTATTGCCTCTGTGTTGTGGGGCTGTGGCTTAGCATTGAAAAACAGATCCCAGAGTCAAACCTTGGTACAACTCCAGCCTCGAGCCTGCAAAGCTATGGCTTACATGTGTGACCACTGGCTTTCACACCTGGAGTGCCTGTCACTGTTGCACACAATCACTCTGGCCATTATTGCCTTACATGTTCTAGGTCCAAAAGTTGGTGCTTTTAGAGCTGAGAATGGAATCATGTTCTGTTTCAGAGTCTATAATTTTGTTATACATAGGGTGTTCTCTGGCTTGTACATGCATATAGTCAGATGCACATGCACTGGTAAGATATGGTACCAGTTACTTTGGGTTACATATCTGTGGATTTTATGTCAGCCAAAAGCAGGTGAAGACTAAAGAGAATAGGCGAATTCACCCTGAATCTTGGCACCTGTAAAGCATTGCAGGAGCTTTTCCACTCTGTGTATGTGTGTGTGTGTGAGGGAGGGAAGGAAGCAATCTGCTTTGACAATCTGCCTGTTGGCTCTGGGGTTATTTCTGGTCATTATCCTTGAAGTGCCGCACTCTGTATTGTTCACAAGGAGTATGTCTTTTCAAATCAGTCTGGAGGCGTATAGCAGTTGAAGGGAGCAACTTACGGTCATTCTTTTTTGAGGATTTGAGGAAGCTGGTGCCAATGATACATTGAGATGTGCTGGCCAAAATGTCCCATCAGTGAACATCTACAGATTTAAACAGTTATTTTGTATTCACCTTTGAATGCAAAGTTATTCTGTTTGTCTTTATTCTGATGTCACTGTGAGGGCTGCTGAAGCAACATGTTGAAAGAAACTGAAGAGATAACACTGAGGTGACATGTGCTGTGAGGAAGCTGTGTTTTACAAATAAATGCCATTCTTTACTAGAAAGTAAAATGGATCGTGAATTAGGGAAAGCAAGAGCCACACTTTAAAATGTAGGGTGTCTGTAAAGTAAGGAACGTTAGCTAATCCTGTATTCCCTTAATTACAGGGGTCATTTCGTAGAAAAAGAGGGGCAGGAGCTCATTAGCATAACTTATTTGCATATGCCACACCCTCTGATATCACCAGAAGTTTCAGAAGGCACACTTGACTGTTTTGGGTTGCTAGCTATTGGGGGGGGGGAACATGCAGATCTGTCCTCGCAGAGGAGGGAGAGCTTGTACCTGAATAAAACTTTATTTATTTATTTATTTATTTTATTTATATTTACATTTATATCCCGCCCTACCCCGAAGGCTCAGGGCGGCTAACAGGGGCACAGGGTGCCAAGTTAAAACAATAGCATATAATTTTAAAACAATAAATTACAATAAAATATAAACAATTTACAGAAAATTTCAAGCAAGAAGGGAAGATCTTAACCTCACATAGCTACCAACAATCTTATCCTCAGAGCAGTGTCCAGCACCACGCTCCACCCTTGGGGGCCAGGGAATCAGATGTCAAATTGCTAGGGCATAGGGCGTACAGATGGAATAGTGGTGGCGGCAGGTCCTATCCAAAGGCCTGGCGGAAGAGCTCCGTCTTGCAGGCTCTGCGGAACTGAGAGAGGTCCCGCAGGGCCCGGATCTCCTCCGGGAGCTCTTTCCACCAGGTAGGAGCTGCCACCGAAAATGCCCTAGCCCTAGTCGCAGGACCTAGTCTTAAAGGTGCCACTGGACTGTTTTGGACCGTGGGGGGGGGCGGGGGGGGCTCTGCAACTTACCTGGCTGCTTCTTGCTCTGACTGAGGGCTGCTGGGAGCAGGGGGTGGGGCTTGTTGCATGTGCCCGCCCCCTGGGCTCTTTACTGCCGGAGCTCCGCTCCTGTGCGCTCCTGCAGGAAATGACCCCTGCAAAAGATAATAAAATAAATGGAGCCACAGCCTTCTTACTCCTCTTTGGTACTTTGTAAAGGCAGGCTTAAACCATAAACTTATATTGGTTATAAGTTTGTTTTGCTTCAATGAGAACTCAGTATTTCCCCCCTTCTTAATACTACTCTGGTGTTCAGGCTTCTGCTACTCAAGAAAAAAAGTGAGGTAAGGAAAGTGTGGAGGAAGAGAACCAACTACGGAGAAAGGCCCTGAGAACAGGCAATGGCTCTTGGCAGCAGTGTGAAGGAATGCGGCAAGATGCCCAGTGAGTTGGGATTGGGGGGGGAGGGGCTGAACAGCAGCTTGTTAGCAGTGGTGAATACCTTTTGGTTAACCATAAAGGTTAACCACTTTGGGCATAGCAGCCAGTGGTCACACATGAAAGGTACGAGGTGTGTCTGAACAGGGGTGGCAAAGTGCATGTGCACACATATCACACAGGTTAAGTTGGAGGGGGACTTACCCCCAATTCTTTAACAACTAGAGATTTTCCTGCAAATCTAGGTGTTTCCTTAGGTTTACAGAGTCTTAATTGTCAGCTGTGACCAGCCTCATTTCAAAGTTTCCTCTCTGCACAAAGCCAGACTATCACTATATTGTCATATTAGATATATTATATTAGATGTAGTGATAATTTTCTGTTGGCCTGGTACAGCAAATTAGCATGACCGTAGGTGAGGGAACCAGAAGAGAATCTTTCCATGTCTCCCCTCTCCCCCCAAGTCCTTCCCTTTAAGAAGCCTCATATAGGGAAGGGATGGGGGTTTAATTCCTTTCAGTCCCTTCCTCTGGCTCCCGGTCTTTGAAGAGCCAACCACATCATTCTCTCCAGCTAAAGTAAAGGTAAAGGTCTCCCTTGCTCGAAAGCCAGTCGAGTCCGACTCTAGGGTTGCGGTGCTCATCTCCGTTTCAAAGCCGAAGAGCCAGCGCTGTCCGAAGACGTTTCCGTGGTCATGTGGCCGGCGTGACTAAACGCTGAGGCGCACGGAACGCTGTTACCTTCCCACCGAAGTGGTACCTATTTATCTACTTGCAATTTCTTGCTTTTGAACTGCTAGGTTGGCAGGATCTCTCCAGTTACAGGAGCTTAAATAGTTCCTGAAGGCCCCTACATATTCTACCCTGAAGCCCACTGGATCTTCAAGGATAGCCCTTTCCTGGTCTGTATTACCCATGGCCAAACAAGCCCAGCAGGCATATCGTTCTGTCATGGTGGATGTGAAATTTAACCAGCTTGCCAGTTTGGTATAGTGGTTAAGTGCACGGACTCTAATCTGGGAGAACCAGGTTTGATTCCGCACTCCTCCACTTGCACCTGGCTGGATGACCTTGGGCAAGCTGTAGTTCTGGCAGAGCTGTTCTTGAAAAAAAAGCAGTTTCTGTCAGAGCTGTCTCAGCCCCACCTACCTCACAGGGTGTCTGTTGTGGGGAGGGGAAGGGAAAGGAGTTTGTAAGCTGCTCTGAGACTCCTTTGAGTAGTGAAGGGTGGGGTATAAATCCAATCTCCTCCTCTTCTCCTCCTTCTTATCCTCCTCCTCCTCTACTAGACCATAATGAGTTCACCTCTCCAACCTTACTCTACCTCTCCACCAGAATATTTTAGAGAAACTGTTTAGTCATCTAGAAACTATTTTTGTCTCTTGCAAAGATTCCTTGTCAAGAACCTCAGGCTCTTCCCGGCCACCTACTACAAATTACCGGGGATGTAGGGGAAGTCTTGGGAATCTCATGTCTTGGAGTTTTTTAGATCCCATGAGAAATCTCCTCACCTTCCCTTTGTACCTCAGTAATCATAGTTTTTTATGTGGGCCCAAACAGTCCTCCACAACACCAGTTCTATAAAGGGGGGGATTAATTTGTCTTGTATTTGTAGTCATTAGTTATGAAAGTGAAAAGCATATAGTTGAGAGGAAACTATGAGGAATAAATGCAGTCTTCTTCCTCTGGGTCTAAAACTTACCCCTC